AATTCTTCTGCGCCGATAATCGACGGAGTCATTTCCCGTTGCACTCGTTATGTAGTACAAAACGATTACTCGGACACATGTACGGAAGTATCGTTCACCAATGTCACTCGCGACTGTGATTCTTGGATTTACGGTTCGGATGAATATACGATACTTAACGAAGTAATGTGACTCACTAATCAGCAATATTTTGCATCTGTCGAGATTTAGCAACAGATTAATTTTATTTTCCTTTGTTTATTTCGACGTAGTGGAATTTTACCTGCGATACTAATCGATGGAAACTCACGTTGGTGGGCACGATACAACATACCGGTCAATTTGTCGGCTTGATGTTCGCTGGATACATATCTGACAGGTGAAAGACCACAACGTAATATCTTTGAAACTCTAATTAATTAATTTTGTATAAGGATACGTTTAATTTTGCATAATGCAGAATAGTATCAGATGTTCCTACAAATAATCAATTTCATGAATTCTTGATAAAAAAGAAAGTGTAGTATGACACGATATCGCGAGGAATTTCGCATCGAAAGAAATATGCTTTGCCGGTACAACGAGAAGTGCACAATCATGTTTATTCTTTCATTTTCAGGTATGGGAGGCGAACAGTTTTAACGATGGCGACGTCTCTATCTGGAGTCAGTGGCTTGATACAATCCTTCTCCATGAATTATTGGATGTTTCTTACATTTGAATTCGTCAATGCCACTATAGTGGCTGGAATTTACAGCGCGGGATTTATTTTAGGTACGTTAATAATAAAACAATAAATATGTTTGGAAAGAGAAAAATAAAAAATATACTAGTATATATATATATATATATATTAATTCCACGTTTCTTTTCAATATACCTTATGCGTGATTATATTCGATACTAATTTATGCCATGCATTTGCTCGTTTTAGGGATGGAGACCATGGGAGTGAAAAATAGAGTCTTTGGAAGCGTTATAATATCCAGCACATTCGCTGTGGGTGAGGTTTTACTGGGATTGATCGCAAGTTTGTTAAAATCTTGGCGAATACTTCTTAGGATAGTATATGGACCGGCACTGTTAGCTATTTTCCTACCTTTAATCATTCCAGAATCAGTTAGGTAATCTTGTATAATTTTAATGAACATATGCATATCGATAAAATATTATTTTCATTCTCTTATCTGCAAAATATATATATATATACGATATATAATATCGTTTTCAAGATGGTTAATGTCAAAGAAAAAACATGAACAAGTGGATAAAATATACTATAAAATGGCCCGAATGAACGGTCTGCAAGTAACGGATGAGGCCATCAATATGTTCAGAGAACAAAATGTAGCTGAAACGGTACGTTTTATCTATCTTTTTCTTTTCTTTCGCAAACATATATCTGTATATAATTATATAAAAATGCCTTATTTGCAAATTTACCTATTATCTAAGATACAACTATAGTTCAAATGCTTTCTATAGTTCAAATTATAGTTCAAACTTTCAGTACAGCAACTTTTGTATTATTCTATAAATATTATGTTAGTATAAAGTAGTAAGTTGCACATGATCTTTGTAATTATGACATTGGTACGCGAATTTCAGAAAAGCGAGTTGGTATTGGACGAGAGAAAACCGATCGTGCAAGTTCTACATAGCTCAGTGATACTTATTCGACTGCTGGTCTGCTCGTTCTGTTGGATTACAAATACGTTTGTTTATTACGGACTGTCGTTAAATTCAGTGGCGTTCGGCGGCTATAAGTACCTCAATTTCATACTCGTTGCTATAGTCGAGATACCAGCATTTTGCATCGGCTGCGTGCTGAACAATCACATTGGCCGTAAATCAACGCTTTCTGGTGCATTCATGCTGAGCGGGCTATTCTGTCTCGCAAGTCAATTCGTACCGGCAGGTAAAGAGATAAAGAAAAGAGGTTTCTCAGACAGAGCTGGTTAAAGTTTGGTACGTTCCTGGAGTGACTTTTCAGAATGATTTAGCCCATTTCTCTTTTCGCACAGAGTTATTTCTATAAAATGCAAGTCAATGAACAAAAAATATCCTGATCGAATATGCGTCGACATCCTTTTGTTTGAAAAACTATCCTTCCGTCGCTTAAAATATTTTTCAAAATCGATTTGGTTCATATGCAAAAGGAGAAATGGATCGGTTTACAATTAGTCACAATCGTGTTGTTCGTGTAATTATATTAGTTTATAATGGGTTGCCACGGCGCGCGATTCTGATGATTTATTGATGCTCTGTTTCAGAAACCTGGAATCATGGACCTTTATTTTTATACATGGCCGGGAAGTTGTGTATCGCCATGGCGTTCTCTACTACCTACATCTTCACGGCAGAGCTTTTTCCGACAACGCTCAGAAATTCCCTGCTCGGATTTTGTAGCATGATCGGTCGCATTGGGTCAATGTTAGCGCCGCAGACGCCTCTTTTGGTGAGTCAATATAAACAATGTTGCAATAAACATAGATTTTCTTAAAATGTGCTTCTCGAATTTGCTAACGTTGATAATGTTGATAACGTTGTGCCGGCCGTCACGAATATCTTTCAGATTTGTGGATCTATTCTTCTATAATATTCTATATATTTCTAATATTCTATATATATATAATAGGATTTTTAAGAAACTTTTATTCTTATAAATAATATTATATATTCAAAAATATCATTGATACATTCTCGTGTTTATATTCTCTCTAAACCTAATAAATGTGCATATCAGTCCCTTGCTTTAAAAGTAACAAAAAAATGTGGTTTCGAGTTATTATCACATGAATCACTTCGCTAAATAGCACTTATATCGACTCTCACAATTTTCAAAGAGATCATAACTTTTACAAGAGTATTTTGAGTTGTCATTTTTGTAAATAAAAAGGAAAGTCTTCTAGAGAGTACATTTAGAGTTAAAACAGTTTTAACAATAAAAATTTAAAAAAGAAATCATTTTATTTTAAATTTAATTATTTCAGCTCAAAATAAATACAAATTGTTGGTTGATATTTCAAGTTATGTTATTTTTGATGAATTATTCCTGATTTGTTATAATTGTATAGGATATCAAAATTGTAACAACTCAAAATAATAATTTTTTAAGAATTGTGAAACAAAAATAATATTTGATCATATTTTTAAGAGTACATTCTTCTTGCTGCTATTACCGATTAGAGCAGTCAATAATTTTCTTATTAAAAAATAATTTCTAGAAAGTTTAATTTTTTGAGTTGTCATTTTTTAAATAAGGAAACAATATAATTTTATTTTTTACCACTAATGATAAATGACATTAGGTATTTTATAATATTTTTTTCGAGCATGCGAAGAATATTTGAAATAGCATGTTTGCAATCTTTTTTACATGAACTTCTTAATCACCGTTGAGAAATTCATCGTACAAACACACTATATTGTCTGAAACACTTCATTAATGACGTTTTCTTATTTACATTCAGACGCAAATAATGCCTTCGTTGCCATTTATTCTATTTGGGACTATGGGTATGATCGCAGGCGTCTTGTCTTTGATTTTCCCGGAAACTTTAGGAACGAAACTTCCGGACACCGTATGGGAAGCAGAAAAAATCGGCAAAGAAACTCGCAAAATTTCGAATTTTAATATGTCGCTGCGTCAGAAGAGCAGCATAGAACGCTAAAAATTTTTAATTTATGTCTAGCATCCCTTGTGTATTTTTTCAGCATCTGTCCTTCTGGATTTTATAGAGATGCTAGTTACCTCTCCACAAGATGCTAGCATGCGGATAAATTCATCTTAGACTTTGAGACTCGCGTGATAGAAATGTTTAATAATATTATTATTATAAATATTAACTCCTTTTACAATGTACTCATTACTACTCATTAGATTCATAGTGATTAAGAAACTAATATCTTTAAAATTATGGCTATCTAAAAAAAGAAATCTCAAAGTAATAACATTTATAAATTTAATTATAGATAGTATAGAAATCAAAATGCTCTTTACCATTTTTTATGTATTTCGCAAATAAGCAATAGCTTACATTTATTTAAATTGTTTTAATATATGAGATAAATGACAAAATGCCAGGTTACGATACGTTAGGTTTCTCTTTCTCTCTCCTTTCTTTGTCTCTCTCCCTCGCTCCCTCTCTCACCCTGCATAGTTCAATTGTATGATGTAAATCATATCAGTCGTTGATTTATTGTGATAATTATTGTAAATCATTTTGACGAAATGTATATTTTAGTCGTTTTTAGCTTTACTCTTTTTATACGCATGTATTATACACGCGGAAACAATAGCGTACCTGATAACCAATAAAGTATTACAATTCAAAGCAAAAAATTCCTTTACGTATAAAATTTTTGTTTCTTTTGTATCTTTTTGTACTAACAAAACGAGAGTACACATTATTTATTTTCGAGACATTAAATATATCATTATATCGAAGTATTAAATATCAATAAAAATTTTACAGATTTTTAAAAAACGTAGTTGTGTATAACGCATGATGTTTAGCGAAAAATAATGTATCTCGTTAAATAATGTATCTCGTTGTAAAGAACTTATGTAAAACATTAACAGAAAAAAATAAAAACTTCATTGAATAAAATACTTAAATGATATTGAATAAATTACTTAAATGAATTATTTAAATAATTTGCGCATAAATATCAAAGATGCAAATATATAAATTATTCTTTATATGTAGCAATTTCATTTTGTTTAAAATTGATTATATCACGGTGGAAAAAGATCACCACGAATTATCTAATACCTTTTTTGTGTAACAAAATGGGAAGCTCGGTAAAGCATATACATTTACGACGTATCTGAGCGTCGCAAATGACATAAAGCTATATAAATTATTATTATTACGTAAATAGTCAAAATTATAATTTTCCAATTTTTTCTTATTATAAAATTTCGATATAAAATTGTCCAGACTTGAATTGTGTACTGATAACATATACGAAAAATTAATATAAAAATTATTACATTCGATAAAATGGACGACGCATACTTCTGGTTTTAATTAGTGTATATATCAACATCTGTAAAAAATATATTTGGAAGTCGCTGGCATCACTTGTTTAGAATTTCTTGCTATATCGATTCACTTCCGATCGAATTAGCTTAATGTCCTCTGCGAAGATTTTACAGCAACCGCCGATATAACGAATTCCTAGGTCCAACCATTCTGATATGGGCAGATTCAGAGAATGATCGTCTTGGACCGCGATCCATTCACCGCTTGTAGAATAGCTGCCACCTCTATTGGGATACACTATCAGGGGAATGAAATTCTGTTCCGATGAAGCACTTTCATTGATACCTTTCAGTAAGGGAGTTACGTATTTCGGATCAATGCAATTTACGCCAACTGCGATGATCTGCAATGGCAAAGTGCGGTAACAACGCACAGCTGTATTTTGGAATATGCTGCCGTCCGACATGAATTGACCATCTCGACATGAAAATGAGAGCCAGGCACGGGCATGTGGGTACTCCTTCAGCAATTCTAGAATGGCTTCCGCTTCTTCGACGCAGGGTATAGTTTCGAAAGCTAAAAGATCAGTACCAGCATTTAATAGCGCCTTAACGCGCGGCCTGTGCCAATCAATTAATTCTTGTCGGGATATATTCTTTCCGTAGGAACCGGTATATTCAGATCCATTGTGTAGGTAAGCGCCATAAGGACCGCACGATCCAGCGACCATAGGTCTCGACTCAAAGGGAATGCTCTCTTCTCGAATGTAATCATCTATAGCTTTCCTAGCTAAGTTTACAGATGTGTTGAACAAGTTCAAACTTTCATGTTCACTTATATTCAGATACTTCATCATGCCAGATACAGACGCTTGATAGGTATTAGTCTCAATAATGTCGGCACCAGCGCGCAGAAAATCCAAGTGTGTGGCATATATGGCATCGACATTGGTTTTAAGAAACCGCGCTGTCCACAGCGGATCACCGTCGATTTTTGCATTCACATGCCGTGACAATTGCCCGGAAAAACCACCGTCCAGGATCTTAGGAGCATTTTGATAGTGTTCCATCGTTGATATGGATGGTTGCAGATTCAAGTATATCAACCTGTTTTAATATTATACGTATCAAAATCACTTGGATTTGCACGATTTTAAAAAGAGAATTCTGCCACTTCTGTGGAGGACGTTTTGAAATTCTCTCCTATTAAGTTCAACCGATCAAAGCATAGCTCATTATCAAGTACACTGGTATTTCTTAGTAATCTTGGTTAGAGCGAATTGTTTTTATTATCTTATCACAGAGTATTACTTATACATAAAGAATAGTAAATTATTAAAAAAGATCTTTTACCTGATGCGAAAGTATGAAGGATATTAGGATTATTTCAAATCTTGGCTTGCAGCCAACTTAAGATACAACATGGAAAACAACACGTGTTTATTATCATGACTCTCGGATCTCGGAACAAAATATTTCCATGACTTCCACGAGAAAGGAGACTGAGCAGCAAGGAGAGATCTGACTATAGTAATAATATAACCTATACGAGTACTGTCATCTTTGATTTTCGCGTGAAGGTCCAAGTGACTGGAAAATATATCTTATGAGTGTTATAAATTACTGATAAATTAATTGCATATTTTACAACAGCAGGCAGGAAACTTCCATAATGATAGTATACTCTATAAATCAAGTTTGTTTAATAAAAAACTTATACAGCAAAAGTTGACATATATTAAATTATGTTTATATGTATAAACATAATTTAATATATGTCAACTTTTATATTACCGGTACACATATTTTATTTTATTAATCGAAGATTGACAATAGCCAGGAATAAAATATTTGTAAAAAATATACTTTCCTATTATTTTATACTTACGAAATTAATTTTTTTCACTAAATGTACCGATATTTTCTTTATCGAGTATACAATATTGAATGCAAATTTTTTCACATTTATTGAATTTATAGATATTAAGATTTGGCAATTTTATTAAAATATCGCCAAAAAAAAACCTAATATATTTAACTTACAAAAATTATATAGAATTAATTTATTAATAGTTATTAATTATATAAATTTTTATTTTTTATTAAGACAAAATCTTTGCAAGATGAATATTACAATATTCCAAGATGATTTTCTACGACGGCATGTGGCTGTCCCATTTGTTCTCTGAATTCAGACGTATTGAAGACATCTTCAAATCTATAAATAATAATATATAAATGAATAAAAATTATTGAATACAAATTGATTTGTCAGTGCAGTAATATATTTGTTATAAATACCCTATATTCTGATCTTTTCCAAGTAAAACATCTCGCATCACATTAGACGACGATAAAAATGGAAGTCTTCCGATGTTCTCAGTGGCTTTCAATTCCATCGCTATGCGCAGTGGAGCATGCAATCCTTGCGTATTTCTAAGCAATATCATATTCATGCGATCTTGATTTTTTTGATACTGAAACAAATACAGTCACAATTTACTGTTTTATTGTCTATGTGTTGAGAGAGAGAGAGAGAGAGAGAGAGAGAGAGAGAGAGAGAGAAAGAGAGAGAAAATATACAATAAATCTTACATTTCGTTCTGATGCTTCCAAGGGATGTGTGTAACCAACACTCTGTCGGATTGATGACAGACTAAATAGACAAGAGTAATATTAAAAACTATCTCTTAAAAGAAACTATTTTTAAAAATTCGTAAAATACAAAGATTTTATAATACATTCTATTATTCATTACAAGTACTGAAAATCTATAATATAAGTAACATGAACTATAGATTTTTAGTATTTGCAGTAAATAATATAGTCTGTATTGAATAGTGAAAGCAAATTCTTTCAAATGAAATGAATTATATTAATTAATTCTTGTAACTTAGTTTTTTAAATTGTCATACCCTGATACCATAGGATTGGGTAAGTCATAGTTAGTTCCACTTTTAACATCGAATTGTTCAGGTACAACAGGCTTGGGTATGAATGATGGCAAACCAAAGCTCTGAAATTATAACAATTATAATAGAGATAAAACTTTGTGTGTTGAAGTCCAATTTTCTCTACTTTACATAAAACAATAAATATAAATAGTTTGAAAACTATACACAATTTAACTATTTTTACAAAATAAAGCACAAGCACGATTTATTTTTTTTCAAGTTTGTATAATTATTAATTGATATTCAATCTACGACACAAGAAAATCTATAGAATAAACAGTCAGTAAAATCGACTGTCATTGTTAACATAACCTGTTCATATATAATATATATTATATAGTATTGTCTTAAAATTGATACATAAATAATACGCAATATACTGTTTGAAAAAAATACGTCGATTACCATTTTTCTGCCTTGCTATTATGACAGAAATCACACCAAGAAAATAAACGATTTAAAAAAGCGTTAATAATCCACTCCAAGAAGCAAGAATCTTGTAATGTCACAGCGTTCGTAAACTCACAAAATTTCGGTGAAACTCGTATCGATTGAACCAGGCTGTGTTCCAAAATTCACTGTCAATGCTGAAAATCTACAGTTTACGTTACATGTATATTTTCAACACTTGCAATGAATTTCGGAGAACACAGCTCCAAGTAATGCTAGTTTTCAATTTGTTTAAAACCTATATTAGACTAGAGACTGTAATATTGAGATTGAATTTAATCAATCAAAACAAAGTTTACTAAATCTGATATCGATTTTCTTTCTTCTGATTGATTAATGCTTTGATTAATGCTTTGAAGCCTAGTTTCTACCGAGAGTTTAATTCAGATCAGAAAGAATCAACCAACCACAGTCGAGTATTCTCCTGGGGTTCCGCACAATAAAAAGAACAGAGAACAGAGAATAAGAATTTCAACCTATCAGAAACTGTGTATTCTACAATATATGATTTCTGACAGGTTGAAATTCTTATTCTCTGTTCTCTATTCCTTGTTCTTTTTATTGTGCGGAGCCCCTTACAGTCGAACGACAGGGGAATGCTCGACTGTAATTGGTTGGTCTTACATTCTAATCCGGATTAAACTCTCGATAGAAACTAGGCTATTATTTCAAAGCATTAATCAAAGCATTAATCAATCAGAAGAAAGAAAATCGATATCAGATTTAGTAAACTTTGTTTCAATTGATACATATTCATAGAGTTTATACTACTAGAGAAGGAATGGCTTATCTAACCAATGAGTGGAAAGTGTGAGCAAGAGAAATAGACAATGTATATTTCTGTCTTGTTCAGAAACTTTTCTTCTTTCTGCATGTGCCAAAAGAGGATAGAAAAGGACAGAAATACATCTTCTGTCTCTCAATCTTGTTCATTGCTGACGTCCGTATTTCTCTTCTAGTAATATAAACTCTATGTGCATATTTGGCTTTGGGCCAAATCCATCGAGAATCTGCCCCTCTACTTATGCTCCATCCACTTAATGCCACTCTCAAACGCGATCATCAATTAGTGAAGCAAAAGTGAAAGGATTGGATTCTCAATGATGCTCGGGGCCAAATATGCATCACTGCTTCGAAGTTCACTGTGTTTAACAGACAAAATTGATCAATGAGTGATTCTTTAATATTATTAAGTGCATTTAGCGGTCTCAACATCAACATTGGATAAGAGCTCGCTTCTATTGATACATTTTTCTAGATTTGATGGATGATCTAGAAGAACTAATAACAATGAATACTCAGTCAACTGTTGAGTCTACCGCAGTTGTTAATTCTTGTTTCTAGGGGCCGCTCTTATCAATTATCTGATTAATCTAATCGGTCGATTGTTACATTGGAACTGACCAATTGCATTTGCTGTTCAGCAGAATTGTTCAATCACGATTAATACTTAATCGATCGATTAGGTTAATCGGCATTGATGAGGCCCTAGACCGGTTTTCATAGGCTGTATTTATAGTCCACATCTTTTTATTTCAAGATCATCTTCTTATTTTAATGTCATGGTCATGGAAGGGAAATCAAATGTGCTCTTGCGCATACATTTTTAACAGCAGTAATAGCCAATAAGAACGTGGTACTATATGCCATGTTACCGCGGTTATTTGAATTAAGCGTTATGTCATAATAAAAATTGATTTTTTACAATATTTTTCCCATTTAATATTAAATGTTTCTCTTTTGAGAAGAAGATATAAATGTATATTTTTTAATTCTATTTTTTGATGATTATTTTTACATGTTTTTATATGGTAAATAATATATAATAGTTTCTCGAACTGTAGTCACTTTAGCTTAGCAAATTTTTTAATTTTTATTGCAAATATTTGAATTTAAATAGTCGCATTTAGAATCTGCGCAGAACCGTACAAAATTTGTCTTGAGAGTGAGCACTTAACTTGATTTTTTTTTCTACCATGAGTAATGCGTTTAAGATGTCAATACAACCCTCTGATTGGTTCATGACATTATAAAACTGTATTCAAAACAGTCTTGATTTTGAAAATATAGATCTAAAAAACATCTAAAAAATTTTTATAAAATGACTTATGTTTTGATTTTGAACTTTATGTTATTTAGAAATTTTTTATATAGTAACCATATTGATGCTAAATTACTATACGATTTCTTCGATACGAGCGATCGACCAAACAATTTCATTACCTAACGTCAGTTTGCTTCAGTTGTTAGTACTTTGTATATTTACACAAATAAGGAATTTAGTTAAAAATTTATGAATGATAAATTTCATATTTTTCTATCGCAATGTCTTTATACAAGGCAAGAAGAATTAGTTCTTTGCGTCAATCACTTGCGTATAAATTACCGAGGAAGATTTTGATTAGGGTAAGTAAAATAGTTGCGATAACGTTTTGAAACGGAATTTTATTTTTCTTTAATTATACACTTCTTTAATTATACATTTTTTCTTTAAATATACACACTGTGAAATAATTCAAACAAATTTAAATTTCTTTATTAATAAACAAAAATTTAAAAAATTCATTTATAATTGATATATGTATATAAGATCATTTAATTGTATATTATTAATTGTATATATTGTACAGAGAACCATTTATATAATTATCGATGGGAATATATCTACAACAATAAATTCGTATTTAAAATAT